CGAACCAGAGACAAGGGACGTTTCTCCCGACCAAATTAATTCCATGGGAAGTTATGTATACTAAAAGGAGTTCAATTGAGCTGGTTCCATCACGCACTTTTATGAACCGGGACCAAATACAAGGACTATCATTGTTTCTTCAATCGAACCCTAAGTCTTCTCAAATGCGGTATCCGTAGATCATTTCATTTATCATTATCATGGACTCCCATCCTCACCACGCTCCGACAATGCCAGCAACCGGAATATCGATACCTGTGGTGTAAGATGCACCGTCAGAGAGCAGATACACGTAGGCTCCGCCAAGCTCCTTGGGGTCTGCTAATCTGGGCATGCCGCCATAGTATTGCATCTTGAGGTTCCAGTCGGGTGCCTGATTTACAAAGTAAGTCATAGCAGTTTTAATAAAGCCCGGTGAGATTGAGTTGACACGGATGCCATGTTTGGCCCACTCCATAGCCAGCGTATGCGTCATATTCCGGACAGCCCCCTTAGTAGCTCCATAAGGAGCCGAGGGCGCCGCACGGTTGGGGCGATAAGAGGTCATGGAAGCAGTAAAGACAATTGACCCCTTGATTCCCAGCTCAATGAAGCGGCGAGCCACAGTAGTAGCGCAGAAGTAGGCGCCAAAGACGTTGAGATTGAACAGTTGGTCCAGCTGGGCGCGGGTGAAGTCGAGCGCTGGCTGGTGCTTTGTCATGCCGGCGTTTGCGATGAAGCCGTGGATGGCGCCTCGTGCGGAGATGACAGCATCGATTGCGGAGTTGACGCTGTCCTCGGAGGTGACGTCGCAGTGGACGTAGGATAAGCGCTTTGGATTGGCGTTTTGCAGGGCAACGAACTCCTCGCCAGGTTCAAACACGTCCAGGCTGAAGATGGCTGCTGCCTCGTTGGCCAGGCAGACCTGTGCAATAGCCAGACCGATACCTCGGTTGGCACCGGTGATGGCGATGACCTTGTCCTTCAGGGTGATTCTCCAGTCGTGGTCTGGACCTGGTTGCGTGTCAAGGAAGGCAGGGGCTGGTGCTGCGAATTCGCCGCCAGCGGCGCCAGTGGTAGTGTCTTGAATACTTGGAGGCATTTTGATGTATTTGTGTGCCGTAAGAGTTAGGGGCGATTGAGGGAATTGATCAGCCCTTAGAATGGGAGAGCAGAGCACCTTTTTAAGTCTGCCATGACCTTCTGTTTAGCCAAGGGACTCCGATATCGCCTAACCACATACCGAAGAGCTCGGTATACTCGAGTCGCGTAGGTTTGTTGATTAACGGGGTAGCCGAGAGATTACTACACATGCATTGCCGAGGACTGCTGCTACACCAGGCCGACCCACCTGTAGACGGTCGTTATCCGCAAGAACAAGATAAGCGATCAATGTTGTCCTTCGAAGCGAGCCCTATCCAATCCCCATGCAGTTGACAACCCCCGTGCAGTTGAAAGTCGAGACCATCGACCCTCGCATCGAGGCGCAGGGATCAACCCCCACCCACGTGGACATAAGCCCCAAACAGTTGAGCTTCATGGAAAGCTTTTTTGACGTTGGAAATCGATCAGAAATCAAATATAACCAAAAATAAAAACACCAGGAGGCAGAGTATTATGGAGACAGTATAAACTAATGCAAGTTGACCTGTCTTTTTCTTTTCGGATGATGCCCTTTGGAGTTGGTGTCTCAGGCAGAGAACCTCAGAACGCGCCTCTCGGTGTCTCGGGCGCCTCTTTCCCAATACAAATGTCTCTCCCCCTCCTGCTTTTCTTCTTTGTTCCCACATTCATAGTTTCCAACACCTTTTAGGTCGTGGGACCTCAGCTAGTAAACTCATGGGTTTTGGCGAGGGCTACGCTTGTGTGCTTACTGAACGTGTGTGCGAGAACAGTGATCAATGCGGCATTGACTCCCCATGGGGTATATTCCGTTCCGCGGATTTCGAAAATATTAGACCTTCCCAGTGGCGACCTTGGTGGATTGGCGTTGAAGGAGAGGCTCCACTTTGCCCTCGATGCGACCACACACGCCAATCGACTGTGGAGAGCGGGAAGTCGCGCTTGGGAAGTTGTGGGGGTGGATATGGGAAAAAACGAGCATGCCGGATGAGCGAATGTCGGGATTTCCCCAGGTCCCAAAGCCGTAGCCTCGTATATCCGGGGTTGAGGGAAGAACATATACTTTCCGTAAGGAGGTTCATGTCCAACCCAACATTTTATTCTCTACTCCTTCAACCTTCAGGTCCTCCAAAAAGCCACCATGGACCGCGACTTTGAGAGCCAACTGAAAGACGTCTCCTCTCATGAGATTGAGAATGTGAATATCAGCGAATCTGTCTCGTTCAGCCCAGAAGAGGAGAAGGCGTTGGTGAGGAAGATTGACCTCACCCTCCTGCCGACTATCTGGATCATGTACCTCCTGTCCTACCTGGACAGAACTAAGTGAGTGTGAACATGTTGGAGCTAGAGATCTTATACTTTATCAGGGTGCTAATGGGCGTTTGTCTACAGCATCGGCAATGCAAAGATCTCTGGCATGGAAGTAGATCTCGACTTGTCATCCAACGAATATTCGATTGCGCTGGTTGTCTTCTTCGTCGGATACGTGGTTTTTGAGGTGCCGAGCAAGTACGACAATACTATCCTTAGCCCTCAGCTTCAGACCATGACTGCTAACTGCCCTTTTTCTGCAGTCTTGCCCTGGGTCGATCCCGACCCTCTATTTTTCTCCCATCAATCATGATTCTATGGGGTGCGTTGACTTGTGTGATGGCTGTTATCAGTGATTTCACCCATCTGGTAGTTCTTCGAGTCATTCTTGGATGTGTCGAGGCTGGCTTTGCCCCGGGTGTGATTCTTCTCCTGTCATCATGGTACAAACAAAATGAACAATCCAAGAGATTCGGTGTGTTCATATCTGCAGCCGTTCTGTCAGGTGCCTTTGGTGGCCTGATCGCTGCCGGTATTGTCGATGGCCTTGAGGGGGTTCATGGTATTCGTGGTTGGCGGTGGCTGTTCATTATTGAAGGCGCCGCTACTGTCGGTTTTGCTATCATTTCCCTCTTCATCCTTCCGGATTTCCCGGGTACATCACGACGTCTCTCAGAGCGCGAGAGGCATATCGCTGTGGCACGCCTGGCAGCTCAGAACGTCACCGCTACAACCGAGGATACCGAGCACCTAAGCAACTGGGATGCTTGTAAAGTGGCTTGCCGAGACCTTCGCACCTGGGCGTTGGTTATTGGATATATGGTTCGGACCCCCTCCTTTGGCCCTTATCTTTAACATCACTAATAGGTCATTCTCCATAGGTCATAGTTGGTTCAAGTACCCTCACGTACTTCTATCCTACCCTTGTACAAGGACTTTTCGGAGATGCATCCACCAAGAAAGTTAATCTATTGACTGTGCCAATCTATGGCGTGGCGTTTATCGCCACGGGTGTGACATCCTACTTCAGCGACAAAGTTCCCAACTGGCGTGGCATCATTATTGCTAGTTGGCTGACATTTTCCCTGTTATGTTCGATCATTGTCTGCGCTGTGTACAATTTCACGGCTCGGTATGTTCTCCTGGTTCTCATGGCATCCGGCCTTTGGGCCACCAATGCAGGTACACTGGCCTATGCCTCCTCCGCCTTTGGTGGGATGCACCCCCAGGCCCGAGGTGTTGCTTTGGCTATGGTGAATGCACTGGGTAACTTGGCACAGATCTACGGATCGGTACGTTTCTCACCAAATCATATTGTCTGTTCGGCAATGAAGCTAACTCGGAACGCACAGTACCTATTCCCAGAAAAGGATGGCCCTAAGTATATCATGGGATTCTCTGTCATTTCGGCGATGCTAGCGGTGGGCGTGATTGACTTTCTGTTCTTGCATGTTTGGTTCCGTCGCCGCCAGCGCACCCAGTGATGGTAGTCAAGTGTTGGATGTTGAAAGGAGATCTAATCACCTGGATGATGAGTACATGAGTCATTGGTATAACAACGACAAAACTTGCTAGGGCCGAACCTGGATATCTAATGTTGCACATAAGTCTGTTTTGTCTATGAAAATAGATGTAGTCATGTCATCCTAGCTGAAGATAAATCCATCACGTTGGGCGTCATTTTATATATTATTGGGCGCGAAATGCCCGATGGTCACGATTTTGGAAAACTCCATAAAGAAAGATACTTATGATTCCGAGGTTTGGTATCCGGCCGGTGTAAGATAGATCCGGCAGGTACAATGTATATATCAAACTGATCACCTATTATACTAGTCATGTGTTTCTCCAATTTAGTGCTTTTTAGCTTTATACCTCTCCAGAGTCAACTTGACCACCGGCTTTACCCCCGTATTGGTGTTAGCATGGCTGTGTGATTGCTTTGGAAGGGAATTGCACTTGATATATATCGCAATTGGATAACAGGTATGATGGCCAAGATAACATTGCCATTCAGCTATGACACAAACAACTTCACTACTGACGTTGTCGCAATTTGGGTTATGTCTCAGTGGACAATGAAGATGACGATAAAGCTGAGGGTTGTTAGTGGATGCTTTTTGAAGCCTTTACCCAACGAGTGTCTACAGTAAACAATAAGCAACTAAGAGCATCGAACCAACTCTAACCCCAGAGACCGGCTCGTAATTGACCTACACATACGGACGTTAAGCGAGCTCGTGGCCATTAAGCGAGGGGTGAATATGAAAACAAACTTGGTTTCTCGTAAGCAGTCTGTAAAATAACGTGGTAGTTGAGGTATCAAGGCGTGAAATACTATATTTAAGGTGTATTTTGGGTTTGCAGCTCGCTTAGTGGTCATATGCTCGCCTACGGCCCATCTTAGTTCATTAGATTCGATCCGACAGCGACTTAGCATACCAGAGATACTAGAATGAATATACCATGGAATGGCCATTAGATATGTAGCAAGATAGCATTTCAACTTCAACATTTTGCCATACCTCAGTTTTTTGAGGTTTAAAAGGCTTCAGTTACCCGCATAGCTAAATCCATCTCTCAACACAATGGAAATAAAAAGCGCTGCCATCCTGATCATCTCCGACGAAGCCTTCAAGGATCCCACTTTGGACCATGCGGCTAGTGCTCTTGCGCCTATTCTGGTCAAGGAGGAGAAGTGGGAGCTGTCCGCAATTCGTATAGTTCCGAACAATGTCCTACAAATCCAGCAAGCAGTTTGCGACTGGACTAGTGGCCCCAATTGGCACCATCTAGTTCTACTTAGTGCTGTGGCAGGCTTAGGAGGCAAAGACCATACTGCCGAGGTGAGTAAATCATTGGGATCTTTGCTGGCCAACCGGATCTTGTGTGCTAAAGACATCATCCTAGGCCGTCACTCTCTTGATTAATCGACATGCCCCCATCCCAATGTGAGTGTACATGGTTTCATCTGTGGTTTCGGACTTATGCTCATCCCGTAATAACCTGTCTAGCCAAAGCATGATCACCGAGTCTCTGAAATTTACTCCATGTGAGATTATATATCAGCCCACCCACTTGATTATACATCCCAGCTCATTCACTCCTAGTCACAAAGTTGGAAAGATCGATTGTTGGTGTTCGTGAGAAGACTTTGATTGTCAGTTTACCAAGATCTTCCAAAGGAGCCATGGAGAATATTGAAGCCGTTATGAAACTCCTCCCTCATGTTTTCCCGCAGTACCGTCGCTCCTTACATACTACTGGCTTGAATAAGTCAAACACTGAGGCCGCAGTCACTATTTCCCAGCATCCAACGCAACCTCAACTTGAACCCTATCATCAACACCATGCCCATGGCCATCTGATCCGCAAAGCACACACATCACCACACTGTCCCCGGTCCAAATCCAACACACCCGCCATGGGCCTCAATCAGCGCTACCACCCTTGTTTCAATCCTACGCTTTCTGTAGAGGAAGCACTACGTGTGATCTGCGAGCAAACCCCTGCACCCATTGTGGTCGAAACGCCTGTCACCACTTCAATCATCGGCTCCGTCATCGCCGAAGATGTTTACGCCAGCGAGATGTTACCGGCATACCCCACCAGTCTTGTTGATGGCTACGCCATCGTTGCGATAGAAGGCAAATCCACCAACGCGATTTTCCATAGATCTTCAATCACCCACGCCAACATGAGCGGAGCCTTTGAGCCCCTACGACCAGGAATCATTGCTAAAATTACCGCTGGCGCGTCCCTTCCTCCCAATGCCAACGCTGTGGTTAGGTTTGATGACACGGCATCCTCAGCCCTGGATGGCCAAGAGGAAGCAACTGTCGAAATTCTAGCCGATGATATCTTCCCAGGCGAAAATGTCCGCGAACCCGGAAGCGACATTACGCTTAACTCTAAGATCCTTGACCGTGGTGACCTTATCTCCCCAGTCGGGGGCGAAATAGGTTTGCTTGCTGCGACGGGCACCCGAGCCATCAAGGTATTCAAGAAGTGCCGGGTGGGCGTCCTCAGTATCGGTGCTGAGGCTTAGGGCTTAGGGTTTAGGGTTAGGGCTTAGGGTTAGGGAGGGCTTAGGGTTAGGGTTTAGGGTTAGGGTTAGGGTTAGGGTTAGGGTTAGGGTTAGGGTTTA